ATCATCACGTTTTTCCTGAGTATTTTCTCCAGATGGTTCAGATAGATTATATACAATCAAATTACCTTTCCTTTTATCACGTTCATGGTAATCTCTCACTGCTTCATCCATGCGGTAATCTAAATGTAAGTTACTTACAGTTTCCATTTTCTCCTCTAATGCGTTTACTCGCGACTCCAATTTTTCATTTTTGACAGTTAACTTTGTGATAGCACTGAGTACTTTCTTCACGCTTGGAATAGCTTCTCTACAGCCTGTACAATACCAAAGGAAATTTTCAACAAGTCCTAAATCATGCAATTGGTCATGAAATGATTCGGTCATTCCAGAACACCTTTCATCAATACAAAACCATTTATCACACAAGTCACACTGAACTCCATCATCATCATTTTCAAGCAATTCATGACATGCTGCACAGCTTGCCCTTTGACTATAATTATGCTCTGAATCACTTAATACAGACATATTATCAGTATCTCTCTGTTTATTTCTTGAGTTTTGTGAAGGTTTATTGAAGGGCATCTTGGTCGGATTTCAGTTCTCAAAAAAGTCTTTAAAATATGCAGAATTTCAATTCAGAATGTTTCCTTAGTATACCACCATTTCTAGTTGAGTTGAGGGACTGGGTACAATAATGTGGGAAGAGGGGGTTTGGGTAGAAATGCCAATTTTTTAATCGACTTTGAAAACCATGTGTTGCCACCATAACCGGAACCGGAAGTGCAATATATTGCAATACGCTTCAGCAAAATGGCAATATATTGCAATACGGTTTTTGCCGTATTGTTACACCCCTAATACTATGTCACAATCCCGCCAAAAATAAAAATTTACTGCAACCAATCAGAATTGCCGAATTTAGGTGACATTTTCAGATCGTAGTAAGATTTTACATCAGCCATATTTGTTTATATTTGACAACGCTTAATGGTAACATTGTTAGAAATCAACTTACAGTAACTTTTGAATAGTTGTAGTAAAATTATATCAAGTATAATTATAGATTACTGTAGTTTATTGTAAATGCCATTGACATGTGTTCTTATATCGCTGAATTTAGGTTACTCCGGGATATATTTAAAAAGCAAAAAAAGAAAAAAAAATATATAGAGTTCTATACCTATCAGCGAAATTTTTCATTACCATTTCTTGTTGGGCGTCGTAAAGCAATGATAAATGGCGGTGTATTCCGATAAAAGCCAATTGCAACTTTTCGACTTACAAGATAACGATAGAAACCGAGAAACTCTGATTGAAAAAGGATGCGGGCCCCTGCGGACATCTATGGGGACCATAATAGAACAGGAAACCAGAATAAAGGGAAGCAGTGTATAGAATACCTAATGGCACTTTTAAAACGGAAAATGTAAAATAAAAATGAACAATTATTTTAACCGACTTCCCGTTCATAGGCTTTGCCTAATTTCCTATTATGAAATGGGTTATTACTTTTACTGTGAAATTATAGTATAAATGAATTGTTCATTTTTATTGTTACATTTACGTTTAAAAATTGTCATTTGGTATTTTATAGACTGCTTCCGTTTATTCTGGTTCCCTGTCCAATTATGGTTCCCATATAAGTACGCAGGACACCAGTCTACGCTTCCATTTTCAATCAGAATACTTCTTGTTGTTATCGTTATTAGAAAAGTTGCAATGTGTCAATTCAGTACTTCGGATGAAAATTTTCAAAACCATCACTATTGGCAGATACTCACGATACGGTAAAGCTTGCTTTGCTAGCAGGCCCTTCGGGCTAGCTCTTCGAGCTCGCTATAAATAAGGCAAAGCCTCCAAGTGAGCTCTTTGACAGAAATTATAGTACATTAATAACATACATGCCATAATTTTTAGACTCATTTCCAAGACACTATTTGGAGGTGGGGCATTGATCAGCAAACAAATTATTTTTTTAATTTACATAGTGGCATACAACCTTTATTACTGCTATTTTCAACTTGCAAATTTAATGACAACATAAACAAGACAAAATGTCAATAATTATTAACAGTTTTTTTTTATCTTTTTTTAAGTATTAAGGCATTGTAAATTCAATCAGTCACAGAATAGAATAAAGCTATGTTAAGTTAGGACAATTAGCCATGTCGTTTACCTGAAGCATTCCCTGAATCATGTAGATTTCATCACCTCATATTTAGCGGTAATTTTGACGGTGTTTGACCACTAATTACTGCCTGCAGGCAGATTAAATTTATACTGGCCAGTTGTTAATTACAGTCTATGACACCTTCGCTTATGAAGCCATGGGGGGGGGGGTAAACTATTAATCTTTTAATTGATCAAAATTATTGCTGATGATTGTTTGTCGGAAGGGGCACATAGATATAACAATCAAAGGATTAGTGTCACCATTGCAAAGCTGTAAGGGGATAATCATTCGTTATTAGCGTTCTTAAATAGTTTTATAAAAACTTGACAATAAGATTATATAAAAATGTAAAATTTCTGGCTACAAAGTAGTTTATTTATATTTTTTATATATATCCGGGACGTTATGGCATATATGTTAATAATGTTTTTACATTGAAAATGGCTGAACCCAGCTAAAACTATGGGTTAAGAATTCAATTTATTTTTTAATTGTTTTTATTTGATTTCCTTTTTAATATACACATGTAGTCTATAGCCTGGCAAGCCAAAACCCTGGCCCGCTTCGCTGTCCCGGCCTTTGACTTCCCCATATGAATAAGGCAAAGTCTCAAAGCAAGCTTTTTGACAGAAATATAGAACATTTTAATTTAAAAATATGGAAACAAATTTTTCCATCGACGGCTATATATTTTTTGTTTTCAATACACTTTTAACTGCAAACAATTTGTTACACGATTCACTCAACACAACCACACACTATAAATTCTGGTTCCCTGTCCTATCATAATTCCCATAGAAATGGGCAGGAGACCAGTCTCTGCATCCGTTTTCAATCTGTATTCCTCGGCTTTTATCCTTATCTTGTAATTCGAAAAGTTATGATTAATCAATTAACCATAATTTTGTAGTACTTCCTGTGAAAGTTTTCAAAACCATAACTATCTAGCAGGTATTCACGTTACTGCAAAGCTCGCTTTGTGAGCCTGCTCTTTGAGCTTGCTATAATTTAAACCCCAATCGGTGGCTTCACACTTAGAACTGCATGCCCGCACTCAACACAAACACACATTATATATGGCCATTTCATGTTTTATATGATATCTAAATTGAATTCATCCATCAGAGAACATAGATGGGAACCATAGTAGGCCTTAAATAAAATTATGTTTGTTTCCCCTTCCCAACCGACCTGACGATAAACCCCGCGACCAGGAAAATTTTATTTCAGTTTCAGGCCTGAAAATATTTTTTCTGTTCTTATCTGTGTACTAAATTGAAATCATTATAAAATGTTTTGAGTACGTAAGGGTTCCTTTTATTTTCCCTTTGTCATACTTTACCTAGTGAAAACTTAACTTGCATGTATGTACAAAAATAGTGTATACATGTATATTATTCTCATGAATTGTTTTCAATGTGACAAAATAGCCTACGTTCCACCTACATGTATTTCAAAACAGTTTGCAAAACCTCTTTTCATTGGTCAGTAAAATTAGAAAAACCTATTAAACACAAGGAAACAAATTACCGGAAGTGCTGAAGGTGGCGGATGACATGTTCAGATGTCAATAAACATCAATTAAAAATTGACTAATTTCGATTAGGACCAATTCTGAATTTACTTGGTGACATCATGATCAGGTTTTTCAATTGATTTCCTTTTAAACAGTTAAATATAGACATGTAGTCTATAGCTAGGCAAGCTGGGAACAAGACACTTCACCCCAGACACTTCACGGTGCACCCCTCAAATTTTGAAGACATTTCACCCCTCAAGCCAATGCCTAGACCAGCTTCGTGATTGCGCCTTTGACTTGCCCGTATAAATGGGTTAAACCATGAAACTTGAAAACTGCTTGTAGGTCATTTGAAAAACACCTTTATGTATGTGCACATGTTCTCATATTCATTTTTTTAGTCTTTGTTATTCTACTATTCATTAAACCATGAAACTTGAAGACTAACTGTAGCCGTTGGTCAAGTGCACATATTTAAGTAGCTTTCTATTCATGATGAATTGATGGTGATAAACAAACCAGAGTTTTGTTTGTTTGTTTGTTTATAAATGAAGATGTTTGAAAAATTATTAATTGTTTATCATGGCAACACTAGTCTGGGATGTAGATTAACAGGACAGTTGATCAATAATATCCTGGCAGGTGTATTGATACAGTCAATGAAAATGATGATCTACTCATGGTGGTTGTGTGAACCAGTTTATTTTTAAAATCCTATTATACACACAGAAGTTATTAAGAGAACACAAATAGGAGAGGAATTCCATGCAAGACCTTGATCATTAGATCAATGTCAAAGCCAGTGATTGATCTTAAGTGTATTTCTTACATGTCAGGTATTCTTAAGTGCATTCTATAACTGCTGCCTGTATGATTGGATTTGGCCATCGATTGGTACACATGACCACCATAAGTGGACAATGTTTCATGTGTGAAACCTTTCTCATTATGTCAAAGTTAATTTTAATGCAAGATCAATTAATTTTGGTGTATTTCTTTTATAAATCTTGTGTGCAGTTTTTATATGCAACTTCTTTTCAAAACCTGTTTTAAAACTAAAATGATTATATTAATATATTTTCAGAATTCATTTCGTTCATATTTGGTCCAAATTCAATACATATCTATAAGCACCATAAAAATATATAACACTAATATTTAGTTATTTACCAACATGTTGCAGGAGCATTGGTGTTCCTATGGACACGTTAAACAACAAAACTTCATTTCTGAAAGTCAGAATCAAGGTGGTGTTCATATTATGAAGTGATTGGAGAATAGTGTTAGCCTAACCTATTATGTTCTTCAGTTATCAGAGTATGAGTTTATTTAGAAAAAAAATACATGAAAAGTTTTCTTTTACAGAATTACCATTGGAGATAGAACCAATAGCGAACAAGTTTGGTGTATTTGCTAACAATGAGATATGTTTATCAGATATTAAAGTGTATGGGTTTGATTATGACTACACTTTAGCTTCCTACAAGGATGATTTACATCATGTGTTGTATGATCTGGGTAAAGAAGCTCTTATAGAAAAATACAAGGTGACTATTTCTACTATTGAAAATAAGTACTCGAAAAAGTTCCAGTTTTTTTGGGTTGTTTCTTTAGCAAATCTTTCTCTTTTTCCTATCCTGTTTATTTTAAAAAAATTCTCTGTTTTCCAAACAATTCTACAAGTTAAAAAAATAAGTCAGCATGATGTAGAATGTGTAATTTTATTAAGATTCATTACTATTTATCTGAATATAACCTTTACCAAACCCTTTAAGGAAATTATTCTGTTTGTAAACATGATTGCTCTATTATGTTGGGTGTATTAGTTTTATTTTTATTAAGTGAAAGAATTTCTTTGTTTTTCATAATTACATTTGTATGTTGATAATGACTTGTGAGAAGTGAACTTTGTCATTTATTACTGAAGTTCTATTATACATTGTGACTGCAGTGTTATAAATTTGAAACAAAAGTGAAGTACTGTGATTATGTTTCAAAAACTTTTATCATAAGACCTTCACAGACACCTGTATAGGAGAAACATTTTCTGAAAATTCCCAAAGCTGTTTGCCTTATGCAGATTTTACAGTACTTAAAAATTGTTTAATGGGTTATTTTAATGATGTGCAAAATGAACATTGTTTGGTTTTTGTCACAATTTTTATTTTCTTGATATTATAGTATCCAAAAGGTATTGGAGAACAACATTTCAACCCCGACTATATACTCAGAGGTCTACATTATGATATAAGGAAGGTAAGACAGTATCTTCAGATTTAATTAGGTCACATGGATACTTTAATGATCATATGATGAGTTTCAAGCTTAATTGGTGAAGGAAGAAATGTCCTGCACCATCTGAACTAAAACCATACATATGATCTGTAAATTGATTAATAAACATTTATTTTGTCAGATGACAATTTGAATCATTACTTAGATGTGGACTCAGATACAAGTAGGTGAAAGGAAAGATTTTTTAATCTTGTCAACGTTGTTTTTATGCAGCCACTCACATTGATGTTTAGGAAATATACATGTAGCATTGCTCTTGTCTGTCCATCAGGTTGTCAAGCTGCTTGTTTGAAGGCTGGCAAAACAGTGGAATGTAGGGGCATCATTCTGTGTCCTATAGACTTGTAAATTTTCTAGTTTTTTTTGTCTCTTGCAGCATTAACTATTTGGCACATTTGTAATATTGTTTTAACATATATATATGAAACAAGTATAACTGAGTATAATTTTAACTTTCAGGGTTTACTGATGAAAATAGATTCCTATCATAACATACAGCTTGGTACAGTTTACAGGTAATTTAGACTTTTTACAACTATTCAAATGCTAATTTTGGAAAAAAATTGATATATTTATTTGTCTAAATCATATGAATTTGTTAAGCAAATTTTGTTTTTGTATACATATTGAGAGGTTGGTGTGAGATGTTTTTGTCTCATTCTTAGCCTCATTCAAGTTTTACATCAACCAGTTTTGTTCTATTCCTTGGTGCTCTATGCCAAACAATTGCAGCTCTTATTTTTAAGAATGCCTCAAATACATGTATAATAATTACTCTGGAAAAAAGTTATGGAGTGAATGATCTGAAGTTTTGCACACAAGTTACTGGCCTAGACCTATATCAAATGGAACATTAATTTTGAAAATTATTTCCAGTCCCATCATGTCAAAAAAACGCACTGGAGTCCCTTTAAAGTTTTTTCTGTAAACTGTTAACAAGGAAGTTGAAACATTATTATGTGATAAATGAATGATTTTATATAAGATATATTGTATAAGTATATTGTAATATTTTACAGAGGAACAACAAAATTGTCAGACAACGAGGTGTTGGAGCTGTATAAAGGAACACATGTACCAATTAGTGATATGAATACATTCTATGGCTTTGTATGTAACATTACAAATAATCTCTCACATCATGTTTCATAACTTAATGTCAAATTCCATGTGTAACATTTAGTGTTGAAGAATCAAGTAGGAACAGCTGACCTTATTTAAATGTTTATGAATGTTATTGTGACAACTACATGAGTTATATACTGATGCTGATATTTACACCCCCAGATCAATTTTCAAAAGTGCTGAAGGTATTCTCTTAAATCTTTACACTTTGGGATCATAATAGAAAGTCAATTTCCAACAAAGAGCCATAACTCTGCCATGTATTTTGAATGAAATCTTCCTCAATATTATTCTGGTGATTCTACTTGAAAACTCTGCATGGTGACCAACTTGCAGTTCCTGGTTTAACCTTGGCATGTTAAGCTAAAACCATTATGCATACACACAACATACCTCTAGTGAAGTGTTATTTTTACCATATTGATCTTTCACCTTGCCCCTTAAATGAGTTTAATATTGATGGTTAAATATTCATAACTCTAAAACATCTAATATAATTATATGTTATAAATTAACAGGTTTAGGATGTTCTACTTACAGGTTTTATTGTTTTATTAGTGTTCTTGCTCTTAAGTTATGATTGTATTGTCTGGAAAAAACACACTTAGGCATTGAAGCTGTTTTAAATAAAATATTTTTGTAATCTCATGTAGTTTTCATTGTCTTGGTTAAATAAAATACACATGAGCCTCGTCACGGCAAAACCAATATAATGCGTTTGCGACCAGCATGGATCCAGACCAGCCTGCGCATCCACACAGACTGATCAGGATCCATGCTGTTTGCTTACCAACCCTATTACAAGTAGGGAAACTGATAGCAAACAGCATGGATCCTGATCAGACTGCGTGGATGCGTAGGCTGGTCTGGATCCATGCTGGCCGCAAACACACTATGTTGGTTTTGTCGTGACGCGGCTCATTTATATATATATATAATTTCAGGGTCCTATGGTTCAGTTAGTAGACATGTTTGCACCTCCAGAAATGAATCTCATAACTAATGTAACTGATGTAAGTTCTGTCTTTTAATAATGTTAACCTTTATAGTGATACGCTGATTTTTTCAATGTCAAATTGAGCTTAATTAAATATCTCAAAAGATGGTCATTGACCAAAAATTGATAATGACTAACATTAAGAATAAAATAAAAAGAAAAAGACTGCCCAACTCTTTTTGTAAATTGAACATTACCAATAGATTCGGAATGATATTTAAATAATTCATGTAGGTTCAAGGGGTTATTGATTAATTAGGCGACATTAATTATAAAATTGAAAACAAATATGAAGAAATGTTAAGTTCTTTTGAATTTTTTCTGAACAGTGAGTGTTTACTCATGGATGGGTATAATGTCAATTTAATACATATATGATAATATGGTTGTAATCTTACTGGAAATTGAGAAGAGTTTATCATGCTGTTGCTGGCAGGCAGTAAATGTCTGGTGTGTGCTGGGTTCTAAATCTTTTATTGTGATCATTACTGTTTAAATTTACAGGTAGAACAAAAGCCCCCACCCTCTCTTGAAATTCATATATAATACATGTACATCACATTGAGACAAACTACAATATAGAGTGGCTCCTACAACCAACTTCTAAATTATTTATTAAATTTATACTACAATAATATATAAACAAATGTAAATGCATTTATATTTTTTGGTAGCCAAAACTTTACTTGCCAGTGAATTAATTGAATAAAAGTAGATATGTGTATATCAATATCTGATATTTCTTTTTCTTTTTCAGTATTTTATAGAGAATAATATACCATATGATCCAGAATATGTGTTTTATGACATAAGAGTAAGTACAAAGTTAAACATCTTATGTTTATTATAATCTATTACATCTACAAAATTCAAACAATAAATGCAAACTTTACAATTAATTTGACTTTAATCTCAGGTTGTGAACAAATCAATACTTTCACTCATGGTTTCTAAGTGAACCTTATTCAATAATTTCAGTATTTTTCGGGTATGTTCAGGTCTTGAAGTATATTCAGGAACTTCACAAGACTAAAAACTATGATTACAATTGATTCGTGTATATGCTTTAATCTGTTCGATGAGAAGCCAACACATTTCAGGGATTTTTTGGCGTATTTTAAAGCCGATATTTGATCATATTCCCAATTGAAAATAGAATATAATTTTCCAAATCCACAGGAAAAAATTCCCAATTGAATTGAAAATTACAAAAAAAAAAATATTGAATAGGAAACTCTTAAATCTTTAAAAATTAAGCTTCTTAACCGTTATAGTGCTTAAATGTTTGAAGATGCCATGCTAGACATTGATTGTTTGCATTCATTTAATCACTGCAAGTTTTCATTCTGTCGTGCATTTTTCCCAATCTTTTTACAAAATGTCACTGAAATTCCCAATTCCATGGGTATCGGTCATGTTCCCAAAATTCTGGGGAAAAAAACCTGCATTTACCAAAGATTCCTCTATATAGGAATGTCTACTGATATTGTTAATGATAGCTTTACTAATGTTTAAGATAGTTATATTTGATTGTTTTCAGAATGCAGTACAAAGTGTCCATACATCAGGTCAATTACACTCGACAATCATGGGAAATTTAGGTAAGTTGATAAATATATTCTAGTGGGATTCTTCAATACTAGTGACCTGCACTTAAGGTTGTCTATTAAGTCTGTGTTAACTTTCTGTCCAACAAAATCTGACTGACCTGGCCAGTTGTCAGACTAATTTTTCTGTAACTTAACAAAATTTGTATTATATATACCTGTTTATTTTGTTTCAAACAGGACACCTCGAGATTTGTAAAAACATAAAGATTGATGTAATGAGTAAATTATTGTAAAGTATACAAAGTGATTTATCCTAGCCTTAAGCCCCTACTGTAACTTGTCAAACTAGAACTATCACTAAATGTGATTAATACCCCCACAAGACTGCTTCGGAAATGAGGATGTTACTAGTAACAGAATATCTTGTTAAAGAATTGAAATATAGAGTTATGGTTGTGGGCAATTAAAGATAGTTGTGGTTCTTGTATATTGCATTTCCTTTCAATGTGGTTGGCCATTGATGAAGTTTTATTGAATTACTCTGTAAGAAAAGGAACAAAGGGCAATAACTCTATAAATACTGAAGATGGAGTTATAGTTCTTGTGCACTTCACTTCCTCTTTTTGTGCTTGACCATTGTATGAAGTTGTTTTGAATTTCAACCAGTACGTTTAAAGTTATGCTCCAGACAAGGAAAAGTATAGTATCGAAGGGCAGTAACTCTGTATTTTGTCAAAATGGAGTTATGGCTCTTATGCACTGCACTTCCTTTTAATGTCCTTGACAACTGTATGAAGTTGTATTGAATTTTTCCAAACAGTAGTTTTCAAGTTATGCTCTGGACAAGGAAAAGTAACAAAGGGCAATAACTCTGTAATTTGTCAAGATGGAGTTATGGTTCTTGTGCACTGCACTTCCTCTCAATGTGCTTGACCATTGTATGAAGTTATATTGAATTCCAACCATAAGTCTCCAAGTTATGCTCTGGACAAAAAAAAGCAATGGAAAAGTAACAAAGGGCAGTAACTCCGTAATTAGTCAAGATGGAGTTATGGTTCTTGTGCACTGCACTTCCTCTCAATGTGCTTGACCATTGTATGAAGTTATAATGAATTCCAACAATTAGTCTTCAAGTTATACTCCGGACAAAAGAAAGCAATGGAAAAGTAACAAAGGGCAATAACTCTGTAATTACTTTAGATAGAGTTATGGTTCTTATGCACTGCACTTCCCCTTACTGTGTTTGACAATTGTATGAAGTTGTTTTGAATTCCAACCAGTAATTTTCAAGTTATGCCCCGGACAAGGAAAAGTAACAAAGGGCAATAACTCTGTAATTAGTCAAGATAGAGTTATGGTTCTTGTGCACTGCACTTCCTCTCAATGATCTTGACCATTGTATGTAGTTATATTGAATTCCTACCATTAGTCTTCAAGTTATGGTCCGGACAAGGAAAATGCAACGGACGTCTGGACCGACCGACCAACCGCCCGACTGACCGACCAACCGACCACCGGGTGACTCCTATATACCCCCCCAAACTTCGTTTTTGGGGGTATAACTATGCACAACTTACCTTGTTAGTAACAATAAGAATAATAATATCTATTACTTTCAAAGTTTCTTCAGTATTGTTAATATTCATATTGTATATTTGGCAGTGTTTGTAATTTAAAATGATACAAGGTTTTTTATTTTCTTGTTGCAGACAAATACCTAGAGAATGGTCCACACATTAAAAAGATTCTAGAAAGACTTGCAAATGCTGGGAAGAAATTGTTTATCATCACAAACAGTGGTTTTCCATTTATGTAAGTTGCTAATTTGAATGAAATAATCTATGTTTTCTTCAGATAAATTATCAGTTGTTACAACCTTTAATTTTACAATAACTATATGAATTGCTCGTGTAAGTAACATCAAATACACAATTACATGCACTACATCTAGAGAATTTCAGATTTATTAAACAGACTTGAAATACGTACCAGTCCTGATGATTCCCAATTTAATTTTTTCTATTAGAAAACATGTCCTACTCGGTTATTTTATTTTGAAATTGATGAAATGATAGCAGTATACAATCATTGGTTTGTTTGAAAATGGCTTACAAGTTTGTCTTAGTGTTGTCATTAAATTGATGTATTATGTATATAATGTTATGTTTACTAAAACTATTTTTGTGTCATTTGAATGAAAGTAAAAACAAAAAAGGAAAGTAACTTTGAAAACATCTTTATTAGAAATATTGTTATGTTTTTACAGAAATTCTGGCATGAAGTATATGGTTGGTGAAAATTGGATTGACTTATTTGATGTAGTTGTTGTCAATGCAAGAAAGCCAAAATTCTTTAATGAAAATACAAGGTAAGAAAAATTTTGACTCTCGTCTGTCAGAATATACTTGTATAGTTGTGCATTTATATACATGTACATGTAAATTTTATACCATTTTCGAGTCTACTTCTTAGACCAATATAACATGTGGGGAAACATTATCCTGACCCATGTGAGGCTTTAATTGTTGATGCTTGAACTGACAGTCAACTTCCTGTGAATTGATTGCTACTTTTGACCTTAACAAATATAAGTTTTACTGGCAGCAACTGATTCTACCCATGTAACCATGCTCTCCCAATAATTGTCTACAGTCCGACCCCGGTTATTCGACAACCCTTTATTCGAATACCCGGCATTATCCGAAGTAGATCGGCGGTCCTGTTTTTATTTCTATATAAAACAATATAAATACGAGCGTATTATTCGAAATGCATTATCCGAATACCTCCTATTTTTCGAAGTAAAATTTCGGTCCCGATTATACAATTATGAAAGAATTTCACACCTATTATTCGAAGCCAGCCTAATTATTATTCAAAGCCAGACTAATTGGCGCAGATCCACTCGCTGACCAGTCGACTTGTGAAAAATATCTACAGTCATGTGTTTAATTAGACAAGCATGATAATAACTCTTTGTGTGTTCTTTAATCAACTATAATTACCGAAAATGAATAGCTATGCACAGTGTCCGATTTTGATGAAGATGACAGCAATAATTTTTATACAATCCGTATATGTGAATTTGTCAAAACATGCAAAACATTTTTTTCATTAATTGCAACGCTACATGAGAGCCTTAATTTATCCTAATCGAAAACACCAGAGTTTAGCTGTAAATACCGTAGTGACGACACGGCCATTATCAAGGCTTTGCGCGAAACGAAACGATACATAATGTAAAATAAAATGCAAGTATTTATGTCTTCAATGTCAATACAATAATTTTTACGCATCTTTTCTTAAATATTTATTTTTCTCAATTGATTAGAGGAAGCAAGTGTGTTGTAAACGGTAGTTTTGCGATGATTGGTCAAAGTGGAGTAGTTTTCGTCTATCACAATATTTCGATTTCGATTATTCGAACCCATCGATTATTCGAAGTAAATATTCAGTCCCAGGCACTTCGAATAAACGGGGTTGGACTGTACAATGTTCCCAATTCAGTCAGATTTTATTATTTTGCATTTTTTGGTAAAGAATATAAATAGTTTTGTTCAGATTAAACTTTAGACAAGTCCATTTAAGATATAAAGTGTGGTAAGGGTGCATGTAATGTCTTATTTTGGCCTTCTGTCTAAAACATATGTAATTTAATTGATTGATAGTTTAAAGCCCTTATGAAGTATATATTCATTTGCATTATGTTATTTCCAGTTTTTCTGCAAGTAATTGCCAATACATGTGTACATATCCAAATAATATTTTGTTGATTTATGTATGGACTTAAAGTGTGACTTCATAACTATGAAAAAATATGCCACATCAGAAATTCAAATGTGAGAAGCCAAGGTCTAATGACAGCTTTAAAAATAAACATGTTAATAAATATACAAATAAATATTATTTTAATATAAGTAAAGCCTGATATTAGATTTGTTTTTTACAGACCATTTCGTTTGTATGATCCACAGAATGAGAATTCTTGGCACAGAGTCAAACATCTGGATAAAGGTCAGGTCTATATACAGGTAGGAAAAAGCATGCTAAAAGAAATTGTATAAGGAAAGTATTAGGCAGAATGGAGTAAAAAAATGAAAGGTGGCTTTTTTGCTTAAAAACCTTCAGTCGATGCCAATTAAACAAGAGCTGCAAATACAAATTCATAACTGAAAGTCAATATTCAACAACTATAAGTCTGATATGGATTTTGACTGAATTTTAGTTCCTTTTGAACTTAGAAAACTTGCTTGAAGTTTTGCATGCAAGATCAATTTTAAAAACTCTGAAGTTATTCCTCTGATATATCAATCTTGTCCCTCAATCATTATCAGTTAAACCAGATAGCTTAGTTAATGAAATGTATCAGCATTAATACATTATTACATTGTATTTATATAAGTTTGATATTGTAATTTTCCAGGGAAATTTTCTTGATTTTCAACACATGACAGGCTACTATGGTTCAAAAGTTCTCTACTTTGGTGACCATGTTTACACAGATTTAGCTGTAAGTATTTGTTAGATATTTTATCATTTTTGTGCAAACAATTTTTGGAATGAACTGGTAATTATAATCTTGTTATATAACATACTAATTTTCAAGCGACATATTTCACTTTTTTTGATGTCCAGTTGTTCTTAATAAGTAATATATTTCAAAACATTGACTATTATAATGGTGATTGACCAATTATTGATAATGAAAAATAATTATTGTAAAATATAAAAAACAACATAAACTATGCAAAGATTGCCCCACTGTTTTTAAGAATTGCATGTTCCCAATACATTCTGATTTATGAGATTTCGATTGATCATTATTAGATAAATGTCTGAATGATACTAAAGAGGATATTTTCATAGTGTATGATATGTTACAGGATCCATCATTGAAGCATAGTTGGAGGACAGGTGCTATTATTCCTGAATTAGAGGTATGTTCTCTAGCTATATACCAGTCATGCTGTGTAACAAGTATAAGTCATTGGCAGCACAGATTATCAATGTAGATATTGTGTCTGATATTTGTGAAAAATGTCTGTAGCTTTATAAGGTCATTATTAAGACTGCAATAGGCTCTAGACTTTTCTTTATTTAATTAACTTCACTTAGATACAATGGAAAAATAAAAGAGTAGAATCAATTAAATAACATTGCTATAGGTTTTTGATATTATTTCTTACTTGACTTTCAATGAAAATTAGAACCTACCAGTAGGTTAAGAAGAAATTAATCTATATGTAAATAATGCCGTAGACTAGCAGAGGTATTTAAACATTTCTTAAAATCCATTGATGAATTTTATACCCTTGTCTTGATATAATGGTAAAATACACATCTATCTGTAAATATTAAATATCTATAATAGTTTATTTCAGCAATATTACATTTTTGTATTGATTATAGCAATCAAATTTCTCAAACTGTATTATTATGAATATAATTTTTTTTATGTTTCTTTTATTATCTCCTCTGAAAAGGGGGTATGGTTATAGTTTCCTTCCATCCATCCCTTATTTTGGTCAGGAGCAAAACTCAAAAAGTATTTCAAATGTTAACTTGAAACTTCATAAGTGGACAGATCTCATTAAAGAGGAGTGCAGCGCATAACAAAATAACTCTTTTTATTCTCATATAATTAAGTATGTAAATGTGACTGGCAATGTGTATGGAATGTCCATTTTTAGCTCACCTGACCACAAAGTAGTCAAAGTGAGTTATAGTGATGGGGCTATGTCCATCGTCGTGCATTGCGGTCGTTCGTTGTCAACAATTGGGTTGTTAACAGTCTAGCAGTTACAATTTTGATTGGATCAACATCAAACTTTGTCTCAATGAAATACAGATCAAGTTCGAAGACTAGGTCACAGGAGCTAAAATAGAAAAATCTTGTTAACACTCTAGTGGTTGCAGTTTTGATCCAAATATTCTGGAAATTTGTCAGGAATGTTGTTTTGATGATTTCTAGGTCATGTTTGAATATGGGTCATCTGCAGTCAAAAACTAGGTCACAGGAGCTAAAAATAGAAAAAGCTTGTTAACACTTTAATGGCGGCAGTTTTGATCCAAATATTCTGGAAATTTGTCAGAAAGGTTGTTTTGATGATTTCTACATCAAGTTTGAATATGGGTTATCTCCGGTCAAAAACTACGTCACAGGAGCTAAAGATAGAAAAATCTTGTTAACATTCTAGTGGCTGCAGTTTTGATCCAAATATTCTGGAAATTTGTCAGGAAGGTTGTTTTGATTTGAAGTCAAGTTTGAATATGGGTCACCTTGGATCAAAAGTTAGGTCACACTGCCCAAATATGGAAAAAACCATGTTTACACACTTGAGTTCACATTTTTGTCTCCATTGTCATCAAACTTGGTCAGGATGCAGACATTGCTCGGATGTGGTTGATGGGTCAGGAGAGCGATCCTGGGCCATCATGGCCTTCTTGTTTATGACTTTTCTCCTATTTGATGGGGGGATTTATGACTTCTTGTGTTTGTTTGTACATGCAATTGTTTTATATTTACAGTCAGATTAGAAATAAAGGTGATAACATGTATGTGTAATTGTTTTTGTATCTACAGTCAGAGATAAAGGTGATAACATCATCAGATTATAAGGCATCTGTTAGATGGTTGATTGCTCTACAACATTTGATAGAGGAAATGCAGGTAGGTTGTTATTAAAGGTCAGATATTCTTAGAAACAATGTTTGTTATCCATATGTTAGCTTGTAGTCCAACTTAATGAATTAGGCGTTGAGATATTCTGATATATTTATGCTTCCAAAAGGGAGAGCATATAGTTGCCACATTGTTTGTCAGTCCATAATGTCCGACTTTTCTTGTCCAGAATATAACTCTGACTCTACAAGAGTTATCATACAGAAACTTTGTAAGTAGATAGATCTCATTGAGTAGAAGTGCAGTGCTTAAGAACAGTAACTCTGCATTGCCTAATTTTGGAATTATTGCCCTTTTTCATTTTTACACTTTGAACTTTGTCCGGGGGACTTAAAGCTGCACGCCTCCAGATGAGCAAAAATATTTTGATAAAATCAAACCTGAGAAAGATGTAGTTAGATTTTAGGAAAAGTATAAAGATTCAAATTCTTGTAATAATTTACTTGTTATGTGCGATTAATGACCAATTTTTCACTATTTTTTCACTTTATTTCTACTGCGTTACTAACGCAGTAAGGGCAATGTTTGCACATTTTGACCTCTAAATGGTAATTTACGTGGGTTGTAAGTGCCATTGATAAAGTGTAAATTGCATTATTTTGGTAAGTTCACAATATTATACTGTTAAATACATTTTCAAATTTTCATGAAAAATAGCATGAATCTGGAGGCGTGCTGCTTTAACTCTGAAATTACAAGAGGTATCAACGTAACCTATTTGGAGAGCATCACCAAGTTCGATTGGCTCTTGTGTATGGGCAATATCTCCCCCAGAGCAAAAAATCTTTGACAAATCAAAATATTTTGACTAATTAGTTTGTATTCATTAAATTGAGACAATATTGACTGATCTGTAACACCATTATAGAGTCAAGCTTGTGGCAGTTTTCTTGTAACAAATGTTACAATGATTGATTTGAAACTTAGGCCTTCAAGTAAGAATAAACTTTATAAAATTATTTTAAACTTGTAAGGATAGATAGCATCACAAAGTTGGGGTAAATCATTACTAAATGGTAGCAAATTGTTGCCAATGCATTTCCACAAAATGTTACCTGTAGCATCAGCATGAATATATTGTAAAATACTTTTGTGTATATTTTGTACAGTATAGATTGTTTTCTCTGTTAGTGCAAATACATTCTTTGACTTGAGGACCATACACTGTTTTTCAAGGAATGGCACCAACATAAAGGTGTCAAATTGAAGGTTCTGTGAGATCTGCTGTATAAATTAACACATCTGAGGTGTTTCTGGAATTCTATATTTCACTCTAATCATGTGTATATGTTGAATTCTTCTGAAGTTGGTGCAAGGATGCATGGATTGTAGGCTTGCCTGGGCCAAAAAAACCTTCTTTGTAGAGGCCGAATATAGGCTGCTTGCCTCTTTTTTTATCCCCAGTTTGGTCCTCAAAATTCCCCAGTCTTTTGAAATTTGCCATACAATTTAGAACAAAATTAAATGATGGTGTTGAATGGTCTTTAACTTTCCAGTGCTTTTTGAGAACATGTTAAAAGTTTGTGTTAAATTTGAGACCCCTTTTCCCAAAGTTTGCCAAAGTCATGCATATTTTCTTCAAGACAAAGGCTGAGGCCCCTTCCCCAAAAATGGTGTTTTGGCCCTGCTTGCTCTCACCATTATCATCTAAATAGGAGAAAATCCTGGTTGTTGGACTGGTGTAAGGCGGGCAGTTGGGCATCAAACAAGATGGTTTCCTGTCAACTTGGTATATAGAAAAATAGTTTCTTGAAATGATATATTTCAATAAAATTTGGTGTATTTTAAGCTCATATGAAGACCTCACTTTGGATCATTTTTGGGTCTCCTGGGGTCAAGGTCAAGATGGCTGTTATGAAAATAGAAAATTTGATTTCTGTTCAATTACTATAGTTTGGAATGAGATGACTCAATGAAACTTGTTGTGTTGCAAGCTTGTGGAGACTTCGCTTTTGTGTCCTTGAAGATCAAGTCAAGGTCACTGTAACTAAAAATAGAAAATTGGTTTCAGGTTGATAAGTAAAGTTAGGAGTGATATTTTCTTAAAACTTGGTCTAAAGCTAGCTTATTTGAAGACCATGCTTTAGATTGTTTCAGGGTTTCTCAGACCCATCCCCTCTCTCCAATCATTCAAAACAATATTAATTTTTCCATCAGCTGTAATTATAAAATGTTTACTAATTTTGTTTGTTTCTTCATTAGTTTTCATTTACAAAGGACATAGTTTCATTGTACATTGCTGGTATTCAAACTTGCTGGTATTCAAACTAGAACAGAACTTTCTACATTGGTGATAATTGAAAATCTGGTTTCTTAGCATTGCCATGTTTCGTGT